AACAAGGGAGCCGTCTGAGCACTAGTGACTGGGTTTTACCCCTTTCTCCTGCTCTTCCGGCCTGCTACTCTGTGCTATGCCCATGCTTACCTTGCTCCCGGAGACCCGGTCCCTCTCAGGGGGAAAGTTGGATAGACCAGGGGAAAATCTTCCTTGTGACTGTCCCATGTTGTAGACTGTCTGGAATCCCTGGAACCACCCTGTGAGAACTACTACTCTAAAAAATGTCCTGTTTTTCTAATGTTCACTGTACACTCCTACCTCCAGGCCTTTACCTATGCTTTGCCTTGCTTGATATGCCCTTCCTCTCATCTCAATCTGTGCATTTGCCAAGGCTCATCTCAAATATCTTCTACACAAAGCTGCTCCTCATTGTGATGGTGTCCCATCAAATTCAGCAGCCTTCAAGCCCTCGTTCTACCTTGAAATGCTCTTGTAATGCTTACTTGTGTGCAGAACTCATTCCCACTTCTCTCAGTGTCTTGACTTGATATTATGGATGATTGTCTCTTCCCTCAGTGGTCAGCACAGAATCTTGTACATAATAAGCAGCTAATAAATATTTGTTAAACAGAATAACTCTCACTGACTTTCTAACAGAGTCTCCATACATTTGAGATTTAATCCTTTACAACGTCTGTGCATAATTTGATTTCCTAGGTCCTAAAATGCCTAAATTTCTGTGGAAAATATTTTTTTAGAAAAAATGAAGCAAGACAGCAGTTGCATACAGTAAAATGCTTTTAGACTATTTGGTAGTTGATTGCTATTTTGAGTTGCTGCTATTAGGTCTTTTAATCACAGTCTGAAAGTTGGTCATCTCAAATTACTTCCTTTGCCCTTTGCTGGTACATAACTTAGTTTTCCCTAGTAATGTCCAGATTCCAAGGTCTGGGGTCCTACATTGTGAGTAGAGAAATTTAGGGCTGGTTATGTTAGGTTTAAGATGAGCTAAGACAAAGAGACTAAGCAGTGGGTGGGAGATGTTGTATGTGTGTACTCCTGGAAGGAAGAACTCAGGGTGGTGGCTCTCACCCCTGGACAGGTTCAGAACCTTCACAAATTATATATGACTTCTCTTTCTTCCCACCCAACTGTTTGTAACATGATCTAGTTTGGGATTTTGGGAAAGGAGAGCAATGATTTGGATTACATAAAAATACCTCTTATATAAAAATTTTAAAATGTATTTATAAGACACCAGGTGGTAAATAGCATCACCTCTTTCTGGTTTGAATATTTTGGGGATGCTAATCTTGCACTTGCTTATCACACACATCCTTCCTTCTAAGGAGCTCCTTAGAAGGAAGGGTAATGAGACTTTATCTCACATACTTTGGACATGTTGTCAGGAGGGGCTGGTCCCTGGAAAAGAGCATCATGCTGGTAAAATAGAGGGTCAGCAAAAAAGAGAAAGACCCTCAACGAGACAGGTTGACAGAGTGGCTACAACACTGGGCTCAAACACAGCAATGATTGTGAGGATGGTATAGGACTAGTTAGTGTCTCATAGTAAGTATAACCCTAAGTTATACTTAGGGTTGCTATGAGTTGGAACTGACTTGATGGCACCCAACAACAACAGGAAGCACACACATGTGCATCTTCTGCCATACAGCTGCCAGTAGCATTCATTATTCCCAACCCCAGTCCATTATCATATTTTAGCAATAATAGAAAGATTTTCACCTAATTCTAATTGCTTTTTGTGCCATAGGTACTCAGCTTGAAACTGATGTTCTTAATGAAGAGCCGAATGTCTTGGTCTTTTCACTTCTTGTGGAAGTGTTCATTGCTTCCATTAGCTTAAAGCCATGTGTACTTGTACTAGATGGAATTGAAGAATTGACTGGCATTTATGGGATTTCAGGACAGAAGGTAATGTACTGTTTCATTAACACTTATTTTATTGCTATTTTATAAAAAGAAAATCCTGTAAATCATGATGTACCTAACATCTTTCCATTGCATTCCTTATCTCTGGTTAAAACCGACACTGCTTATGTTGTTGTTGTTATGTGCTGTCAAGTCGGACCTGACTCATAGCGACCCCTCCTTGGGTTTCCGAGGCAGTATCACTACGGAAGTAGATTGCCCCATGTTCCTTCCAAGGAGTGGCTGGTGGGCGTAGTTACTGCTTTATATTTCGTTGAACAAATACTTCTATGGCAGTATGGGCCAGGCACTATTACAGAACCTTTAAAAAACTGATTCATTTAATCCTTGTAATAACCCTGTAAGGATCCCTGGTGGTGCAGTGGTTAAGCACTCAGCTGCCAACCTAAAGGTTGACAGTTCTAACCCACCCACCAGCCCTGTGGGAGAAAGACCTGGCAATCTGCTTACGTAAAGATTATAGCCTAGGAAACCCTATGGGCAGCTCTACTCTGTCTGTGACTCAACGGCATCAAACAGCAATAACAAGAACAGCAACCCTGTATTAGAGAGAGCTGTGATCATCATCCATGTTTGCACAGAGAATACTGATCCCAGAGGTGTTAGGTGACTTGCCCAAAGTCAAAGATAGTAAGTGGTAGAGTTGGCATTCAGATTTGGGCAACTTGGTTCTAGAATTGTGGCCTTTTCCCCTTCACAGTTCTGCTCCCCTCTTTTATATTTTGATCAGATATTTATTGAACACTTCCTCTGTTCTTTATGTTTTAAGTATTGTCTACCCACCAGCCACTCCTCGGAAGGAAGGTTGGGCAATCCTACTTCCGTAGTGATACTGCCTCGGAAACCCAAGGAGGGGTCGCTATGAGTCGGGTTTGACTCGACGGCACATAACAACAACAACCTCATCCACACTGATTTTACACATACCAATCCCATTTACTGGTTGCCACCTTCAGTTTCTTCTGTTGAAAAAAAAGATATTGGATTAAGAAACCTCTACTATTTCTCAGATTCAGCCATTACTTTGTCAAACATTTTGTCAAAAACTTAAAAGTAGATATACAGAGATACCTCAGAGATATTGCAGGTTCAGTTCCGGGCCACTGCAAAAGTGAATATCGCAATAAAGCAAGTCATACAAATTTTTTGGTTTCCCAGTGTACATAAAAGTTATGTTTATACTATACTATACTCTATTAAGGAGCTCTGGTGTCGTAGTGCCTAAGGCATTTGACTGCTAACCAGAAGGCTGGTGGTTCAAACCCACCAGCCACTCCTTGGAAGGAGGGTAGGGCAGTCTACTTCCAAAGTGATACTGCTTCGGAAATCCAAGGAGGGGTCTCTATGAGTCGGGTCTAATTCGACAACTGTGGACATCTTTGGTTACTCTATTAAGTATGGGGTAGCATTATGAAAAAGTTTGGAATATTGTGAAATTACCAGAATATGGTACAGAGACAGGAAGTGAGCACATGCTGTTGGAAAAATGGTGCCGACGGGCTTGCTTAACACAGAGTTGCTACAGACCTTCAGTTTGTAAAAAAAAAACATCTGCAACGTGCAGTAAAGCAAAGTGCAATAAAATAAGGTAAGCCTGTAATTTGATAAATTATGTAAATAATGTATATTTCTTATAGAAAATATAAACAAAAAGAATAAAGTAAAAAATTAAGTATCACTTGTAGTCTTACCATTGTTAAATATCTTGGTATATAGCCTCCCCCTCCATTTTCATTGTGATTTGAGTGAAAGTTTATAGAACAAATTCATTTTCCATACAGCAGTTCATACACATTTTGTTTCATGACATTGACTGCAATCCCCACAATATAACAGCTCTCTTCCCAATTCCTCCCTGTAATTTCCTCTTCCCTGTGTCCTTCTTTCCTGTGCATTCCTCCCCTCCCCACAGCTGTGATTGATCTCTCCAAGGACTATATCTATGTAATCTAAATGTTCAGCCCATATGCCAGTTTTTATTTGGCTGGAAGCCACAGGAGTTCAATTCCAGACCTGAAGGGCAGCTAGGGGCCATAGTCTCAAGGGTTTCACCAGGCTTTACCAGGCCAGCAAGACTGGTCTCTGTTTTTTAAAAATAATTTTGAGGAGGCGGGGCAGGATGGCGGACTAGGCGGAGGGATTGCACGGACCCTCTTCAACAAAGAAAGGGGAAACCAATTGAAACAGACACAGAAGATAATCTTGGACCCCTGAGCCTTGAAGGAAAGGATGCAGATTTGGAGTAGACCCCGACTGGCAGAGGAATTTGCGTGAAAATACCAAAAAAAAGGGAGACCTGCGGAGCTGCGGTCTGACAGCGAACTGAGTGACCCTGACA